GCTACTGTGCAGCGAAATCAAATGGTGCGGCAGAATCATAGACGGCGACGGGGTGCGACAAGATTCCACGAGAATCCAAGCACTATGCGACATCCCGTACCCGACCGATGCAGGTCAGCTGCAGCAATTCATATGCGCAGTGAACTGGATACGCGACAGCCTGATTGGCTTTGCCCAAACAATCGATCCACTCCAAAAACGACTCACAGAAACGTTGGTTGGAAAGAAAAGAAAAAAAAATCGCGACATGAATCACAATCGACTTGACCAAAGAAGAACGGAACAGTTTCGACGCAGTCAAAGAACTGATGTGGAACGCCGCTCAATTGTGTCACCCACATGAAGACGCTGCGATGTGCCTATTCACCGACGCCTCCGCCTACGGCTGGTCCATCGTGGTCACCCAAGTCCACAATTACGGCGACGATACGCCGATCCAAAACCAACAAAATCAACTCCTCGTAATTTATGCCAAAGCGGCATGTTTGACAAAACGCAAGTCAACTGGTCAGTTATCGAAAAAGAAGGCTATCCTATTGCGCGTGCCTGCGACACCCTCAAGTACCTGCTGCTACGACCCAAGGGGTTCCTCATGAATTGTGACCACAAGAACCTCATACGCGTCTTCGCGCCCCACGACGAGCTTAAGGCACACACGCGCGAGAAGCTGATCCGCTGGGCCGACATGATCGGCCAGTACCGATATGTCATCCAGCACATCGACGGAGTGCATAACCTATGGGCCGACCTCATGAGCCGATGGGGTATACCACAGCCCACAGAGGCGAAAGTACGACGAATTTGGTGGGAAAGCCCGCCGAAATGGAGACACCACGCATTCCGAAGGACGGCACATCGAAAGTACGTGCGCGCGTTGGGCAAATGGACAAAAAAGAAGAAAACACAACCCAAGCATGTCTACAAGCCGCCGCCACCGAAGTTACGGCCACTGGACGACGCCGACTTCGTGTGGCCGGACCTCGACGCAATACGACACGCCCAGGTTCACCCCACATATGCCAAGCCCAACGACCACGACGACCGCGGGCTCCTTGAAGTTCACGGCCAAATTTGGATACCCAACGACGCCGACGACCTATTTACGCGGCTCTGCATCGTCGCGCATTGTGGCAGCATGGGCCACCGAGGACACCAGGCCATGGCAGCCCACATGCGGAAGATATTCTACATCCGCGAGCTTGATACAAAGCTCACGGCATGGATGAAGACGTGCTTGCTGTGCCCGCACACTAGGGGTGGCAGGGTCATTCAACGACCTCAACAGTATGCTTGGCGCGCGACGCACCGAAACGAAGGCCTACACT